GCCCGGGGGGGGGGGGGGGGGGCACGCGTTTCAATCCCACAACCACTGCCTAACTTCCTCGTGTTCACATGGAAGCCTTTTAAGTGACTACCTCTAACCTTATGAAAATGACTTCCACAGTTGTGTATTTCGTGAAATTTCGCATTGCATACATTCTTTATTCTGAACGGTAAACCCCACAGTAGCTAAAATCTACTGTTTCCTGGGGATGCAAACCGGGATATGGAGCGGAGAACCCCATTAGATTAGGCATCGTATGGAACTGGACGACAGCAAAGCTGCCTACCACAACCAATTTAAGGATTTCCTCTTTGTGGTCCTACCCCCGAAATGGTCAATAAATGAAAATCATTTGGCCTTGTCCATCAGTCGGGTTGTGCTTCACAAAGCCGCTACTTACTGCGCATGACAAAGAATATATCGCATGGTCCTATGGCATAGCGATTTTAACCACTGGCTGTCGCACGATTTTACCGTGCTCAATTCTATCACGTTTTCTTCTCCTAGAGACTAGCTCATTTTATTCAGTAGTGCAACGTACACACGATTGGGTGCATCTCACTTCCTGAAAAGTCAACTACAGTCAATCTCTTGCTATGTTGCACCACTGAGAAGTCGCATTTTCCCATATCTTCTTACTTTTTCGAAAACCCAAACCAACCATATGCTTAATAACGTAGTTTCTGACTATGCGATGTCGCACCCCCTAATATGTCGCAGTTCCTGATATGTACTCACTTGGTCGTTGACCGATGTTCGGGACGACCATTGACCATCCACCCTGAAACGTCACACTCAACCAATGGCGTTGCACCTAGTGTGAAGCGTTCATGGCACTGTTTACTGATTGAATAATCCTTGAGAGGAAGGTACGCCGATGTAAGTGATCGGAGACAGTGTCATTTTATTCCAAAATGTACCAGCGCCTATCGATCAGAGAAGAGCAGAATGTGTTGGAAATGATGAAATGGCTAGGTGCAGCTCAGAGCTCCCTAGCTTAATCTCTTGGAAGTTCACGAAAAACTGTCTACAATGTTGTATCCCATCGAACGACTATAGGGGAATTTTTGAACGCTGGAGCATCTGAAAAAAGATGCCACCTGAAAACCAACGAAAAGTTCAAGGCAGTGAATGAGGCAACTTAGGCTTGGTTTACTGCTATGAGAGAAAAGCATGGAGAGTTCCCAATGGTGGAGAGCATCGTACGTAAGAAGGCAATTCAGCTAGTACAAAGACTGCATCATAATGACTTCAAGGCTTCCAAAGGTTGGTTTCGCTCTTGGTCGGACAGATATGGTATTCAATCGTACAAAGTAAGAAAGAAGCAAATCATGTGCATTACTTNTGTGGGAAAAGTTTAGCAGTACCATGTGATGCAATGGATGACTTTCGATCGGGGTTATCGCAGTTGATTCATGGCTATACTGACTGTGATATTTTCAATACAGATGAAACAGCCCGGCATTACAAGCAGTTCCCAGAAAGAACATTAAGCCTCAAAGGAAAAACAACTTATAGATCCAAGAAATCCAAAGAAAGAGTCACATTACTACTTTGTGAGAGCATAACTGGAGAAAGGATATCACCGGTCGTTATTGGAAAATTTTAAACTGCACGGTGCCTTCAAGGTAAAGATCGAAAAAGCCTTGCATGCAGTTATACTTCTTCGAAGAACGCATGAATGACTTCTATGTTATTTCACAGTTGGCTGTTCGATGTCAACCGCAAAATGGTTTCTCAAAGGCGCTCCATTTCGCTATTTATGGACAACGCCCTTTGTCACAAACAAAATTAGACAGGTCACTTGCCAGTGGTCGCCGTAACCCGGGTCTGAGGACAGTTTGTGAGATACACTTTTAGTTTATGAATCGTTAGTTGCTTGAGAGTTACCGTAATTCCTGTAGGCTGGTGTCTATGGCCTTCGGTTGGCTGAACAAGAGTAAATTTCTTCCAATTAAACTCCCGTCTCACGCCTGCGTGAAAATAGTGCGTGTATCTTAGACGAGTCAAACGTTGGCCCAATGTCGTCATCGTTTGAGCATTTTCCATTCTGAATTACCCACATGGCGTATCGTTCCATAACTGATTCTCCTGTAGTGATTCTGTACGAATATTTAGACGGCATCGGATTCGGAACCTATCCTCTTCCTGTACCGGCCCGAAAGGCACACGATCGATCGAGTTTATTTATTGATCGGTCCAATGGTTCAGCCGCAACACGGGACCTGGTGCTTGTCCAGATAATCCGAGCGAGAAACCACACCTTGTCTACGGCCGCGGGTCTTTGGCGGACCCAGTGAACTTGGAATGCACGACAAGAGTGCCTTCACCACATGGATGAACTGGATATGACAACAAGATCATCATAAAAACTANAAAACTACAAGACAATGTGAAACAATGGAGTAGTCGGACTATCGTACTATCCACATAGAAACATGACACCTTAAATCGACGTTAAATTAAAAAAGGTATGGTTTATGAATCATGCTATGGCATCGCGTGCTGAACTCAGACCGACCAACAACGGTCATGACGAATGCACCAATCAGTTTGAACATACACTGGTAACAACAAAAGCGAACGAACGAATAGATGTCTACAGACGCTAATGATACAGCTTTTTCACCATACCTTTTCTCAGTTTAAGATGTCCGAATATCAATTTAAGATGTCCGAGTATCGATTTAGGATGTCATGTTGCTATATGGACAGTACCTTGCACAGTACAGAGTGAAAACGTTCGATGGGACCCCTGTTTACTCAGATCCATGTGCGTCCCACCTGCATACTGATCTATGGCCCCCGAAAATATGGTCCCACGCTCAACAAAAGGATGCATCAACGATTGCAAACGTTCAACCCCATTTCACGTCAACGGATACCACCTCTTTTGTACCGAGAACACTTCATCTATGAGACCATGAACGTTTGTGGTGAGCACTGTTCAGTCTACAGCTCTTTTGCCTGACCAAGTGAGAAATGAGGCCATCGTGTGAGAGACCCCACCAAACCCTAAATCGTTCCTTTTTGTTTCGTATTCAACCAAGCCTTCGTCCGTTTGCACATGGTGGCATAGATCTGACTGAATTGTGGGTTGCGTTTTCCAGTCTGTGTGTGCAAACAAGCAGACAAGATCATCGTCGGTGCATATTTTTGTTGAGCGTGGGACCATATTTTCGGGGG